TACCTGGAAAACAGAGACTTGCTGGCAAAGAAGACGATGCGGGTGTTGGCAGGTCTGCCGGTGAATGGGAAACGGTTTGCGCCGAACAAGGCGTGGTGCGCGTGGGCCGAGGCCCATGGATGCCTACCGGTTGACGAGGAAGAGGATGACGACGAGAATGGGGAGGTGCAGGCGGTTTGTGTGGATGTCGGGCAGGAATCGGACGACGAGGACAATGTCTCTGATGTCCATGCCTCTGCCTTCAAAGTAAGGGACGTGGGTTGCTGATGGCTTTTTTTATTCAAGTTTGGATTTAGTGGACTGCAGAAATCAGTGAATGTTGATGACGACGTGTGGCTGTATGGTTGGGGAAAGTCTTCCCATTAATTGATTCTACCATATTTCCTTCTGCAGGACGATGACAATGGAGAATTCGATGGTGGTGCAGCCGTGTTCGACGAGAATGTTCTCTCATTTGCAAATATGCGATTTCACGTTGCATCGGAGACTGAATCGCAAGTTTCGCCACCCTTTGAACGCGAATACACAGACGGATATTTCGAGACCCAGCGTATTCTTATTTGGCCTCCGGCTGGAAGTCCCAATGCCAATATCCCCTCGGTGTTCTACTTCTGCGAGCTCCTTGGTGATGATTTTTATCGGATGGAATTTCACGATCTCTACAATACGCTGTTCACCGGCAATGTGCTGCACTCAATGCAAAGCCATTCTGAATCAAAACAAACATCGTGTCTCTGTCCGTGGTACAATTTCTATCATCATGAGCATTATTCCTATCAGTCGCGTACCACTTCCGTCTCCGACTTAGGCCTCTTCTTTTCTGAAAAAATGTTAACGAGACCCATATTGACCGACGACTTTTGCCCGTGGTCTAATGTAGACGGAGGAGGTATTTGGAGCATATTGGGTGGGCTGTTTTGTGAACGACGCCGACGAAATTGGACTGATAGCACATCTGCGGAAAACAGTGTAAGTGGCCATGATATGGCTTTCCTCTTCAACGCCAGTTTTGACGTGGAGGATTGTGACACTAGGAAAGAATGTACAGTTGATGAAAAAGGAGATGAAGCAGAGGAAGAAAAAGAGGCTGAGGACGAAGAAGAAGAAGAAGAAGTGAGAGATGAAGAAGAGACTGTAGAAGAGATGGCAGAAAATAATGCGGTGGAGACATTGAAGCGGGTGGACGCGAATGAGGTGGAAGTGAATCAGGATGTGGAAAAGTCGGAATCTAGTGGAGAAGCAAATTCAACTTTGGAAGACTACAGAACAAGTGATGTTGATGGTGCTGATGAAGTGCAAAGCGACATTGCTG